CTCGGCCTCCCAAAGTGCTGGGATTACAGGCGTGAGCCACCGCGCCCAGCCTTTTTTTTTTTTTTTAGAAATGGGGTTTCTCCATGTTGGTTAGGCTGGTCTTGAACTCCTAACCTCAGGTGATCCACCTACCTTAGTTTCCCAAAGTGCTGGGATTACAGGCATAGGCCAACACGCCAGGCCCCAGCTATAATTTTTGTAGCTTTTTGTGGACACAGGGTTTCTCCATGTTTCCCAGGCTGGCCTCGAACTCATGGTCTCAAGAGATCCTCCCACCTTGGCCTCTCAAAGTGCTGGGATTATAGGCATGAGCCACCTCGCCCGGCCTGGAGCTATGTTCTGGCCGTAGGACTCGCTGTCTCTCTGCGTCCGTCTGTCATCCCTGGCTGTTCTAGGCTGTTTGTGCTGGTGACTTTCTGAGTGTGTGTCTGTCTGTCCGTCCCTGCGCCTGCACTCTGTGCTCTTTGTCCCCGTCCCTGGCACCCCACTGTCCACTTTACAGGTAGCTCCCTCTGGTGGTCCTATAGTGACCGTCCAGGGCAAATGGAACAAGGGAAAGAAGAGTTAAGAGAAGGGGAAGCATTTTACTAATAGACAAACCGTGAATCTTGGCTGCTGCAGAGCAGGGAAGGAGATACAAGGGCCTGGGCTTGATGCGAGGGACAAGACATGATCCAGCCTGGTGGGATGGAGCCGGGGGTCTGGCTTCCCAAGCTGACTACTTATTACCCACCCATCCCCAACATAATTAGCAGGCAGGATGCCTGGGTTTCTCACAGGGGGTGGGGGCAGGGCCTCTGTCCGGGGACGTCACCCGTTAAACTTCCTCTCTCAGCCACACAGGAAGCTGAGCCAGCTTGGGGCCCAGCACACACAGGCCCCCCAGGACCCCTGGGGAGAGGGCCCCGCTGGGCTGGCCCTGCAGGGACCATGGGATCCAGAGCTGAGTAAGAGCTGCCCTATCCCTCATTCTCTAGTACAAGATTCCCAGGCTGGGCCTGAGCCGGGGCAAAGGGGAGCTGGGGCTGGAGCAGGCCCAGGAGGTGCCATGACCCGCAGGGGCAGGTGGCTGGAATCGGACACTCTGCTGGCCTCCGCTGTGACCTTCACTCTGGGACAGGCCACTCTCTGTCTCCTCTCTCTGTCTCTCTCTCTCTGTCTCTCTCTCTCTCTCTCTCTCTCTCTCTCTCTCTCTCTCTCTCTATCCAGCCTCTGTGATTATGTCTATAGCTCTGTGGATGCATGTACCGTCTTCAGGGGGTCCATGGGGTTGGTGATCAGGGCAGAGGGGAGGCTGGGTGTTCATATGAGTGGGTGATCGTGTGTGACTGTGTCGGCATAAGGGTGAAGTGCTGGGCATCCCATGTCGGGGACTGTGATTGCAACCGGGAAGGACAGTGTGTGTAGCTGATCTCCCTCCAGGCCTCCCTATCTCTCTCCTTGAGCCCAAGTTTGCATCTTCTGATTGATATAGGGGCAGGGGAGGAAAGCAGAGATTTCAGGGCTTACAGTAAGGACCCAAGTATCCTGCCCTCCTTTCTCTGATGAGACATATGGGATCAGCCATCAGGGTCCCATGGGGTCTAGCACATAGAGACACACAGACAGGCTGAAAGGCTGCCAGTTACCCAGCGACACTCACAGCTGCACAGGAAGCTACAGATGTCATTCACTTGCTCGGGCACACACGCTCAAATCTATACAAGAAAATATAGGCCAGGCACGGTGGCTCAAGCCTGTAATCCCAGCACTTTGGGAGGCCAAGGCGGGTGGATCACGAGGTCAAGAGATCGAGACCATCCTGGTCAACATGGTGAAACCCCGTCTCTACTAAAAATACAAAACATTAGCTGGGCATGGTGGCACGTGCCTGTAATCCCAGCTACTCAGGAGGCTGAGGCAGGAGAATTGCCTGAACCCAGGAGGCGGAGGTTGCGGTGAGCCGAGACCGCGCCATTGCACTCCAGCCTGGGTAATGAGTGAAACTCTGTCTCAAAAAAAAAAAAAAAAGAAATTATAGATATCGTGACCAGGTGTGGTGGCTCACATGTAATCCCAGCACTTTGAGAGGCCAAGGCAGGCAGATCATCTGAGGTCAGGAGTTCAAGACCAGCCTGGCCAATAAGGTGAAGCACCGTCTCTGCTAAAAATATAAAAATTAGCTGAGCGAGGTAGTGGGCACCTGTAATCCCAGCTACTAGGGAGGCTGAGGCAAGAGAATAGCTTAAACCCCAGGAGTGGAGGTTGCAGTGTGCTAAGATTGTGCCACTGCACTCCAGCTTGGGTGACAGAGCAAGACTCTGTCTCTCTTTTTTTTTTTTTTTTTTTTTTTTAGATGGAGTCTCACTCTGTATCCCAGGCTGGTGCAATGAGGAGATCTCGGCAGGAGATCCCAGGTCCTGGTTCAAGGCATTCTCCTGCCTCAGCCTCCAGAGTAGCTGGGATTACAGGCACAGGCCACCATGCTCAGCTAATTTTTGTATTTTTAGTAGAGACGGGGTTTCACCATGTTGACCAGGCTGGTCTTGAACTCCAGACCTCGTAATCCGCCTGCCTTGGCCTTCCAAAGTGGTGGGGTTACAGGCGTGAGCCACCGTCCCTGGCCGTTTTTTTTTTTTTGTTTTGTTTTTTTGGGGAGGGGATGGAGTTTCACCCTTGTTGCCCAAGCTGGACTGCAGTGGAGTGATCTCAGCTCACAGCAACCTCCGCCTCCCGGGTTCAAGCGATTCTCCTGCCTCAGCCTCCCCAGTAGTTGGGATTACAGGCATGCACCACCATGCCGGGCAAATTTTTGTATTTTTTAGTAGAGACGGGGTTTCTCCATGTTGGTCAGGCTAGTCTCGAACTCCTGACCTCAGGTGATCTGAGTACCTCAGCCTCCCAAAGTGCTGGGAATACAGGGGTGAGCCACTGTCCCCAGGGAGAGTCCATCTCAAAAAAAAAAAAAAGAAAATATAGATGTTATTCACTTAGCTTGGGACTGTGCAGACTGCCCACTATATCTGGGCAGTCCCACCCCACCAACAGAGGGGACAGTCTCATCTTTTCAAGCAGACAGCAGACAGGGTGACACACACACTGCTTGCTCACACAAGCCATGCACTCAGTCACACACAATCAGACAGCCACACATACACAGTCACACTTTCTTTTTCTTTTTTTTTTTTCTTTTTATAAAGATGGTGTTTCACCATGTTGGTCAGGCTGGTCTTGAACTCCCAACCTCAGGTGATCTGCCCGCCTTGGCCTCCAAAGTGCTTGGATTACAGGCACAAGCCACCACTCCCAGCCCATTGTCACACTTTCTCACTCCATCCTGTACTTGTGTGCACAATTAACATTGCTGCACACACAGCCTCACACCACCACACACTCACAGCCGCAAACCCCTTGAGTCACACACATGCTGACACACTTGTTGCATGCCCACACAACCACATTGGTGTGCAAAGTGGCAGACAACCACACAGGCACAGAAGCAAGACTCTGGACCCCTTCTGCATCCCACAGAGGGGACTCCCCTGCCGTGTTTGACTGGTTCTTTGAAGCCGCCTACCCTGCCTCCCTGCAGGAGGGTGAGTTGGGAGCTTGGGAGTGAGGGAGTTGGGAGGAGAGGGGAGGCCGGGGTTGCTGAACTTAGAGACCTACTGTCTTCTACAGATCCCCCCATCCTGCGGCAGTTCCCCCCAGACTTCAGGGACCAGGTATTCAGGCTGGCTCCTCCCCCCCACCCCCCCACCCCCACACCACCCAGGGTCAGGGACGATCCCCCAGGGGAAGGGGACTCTGTGTCTTGGACCTGGGCCCAACCTGAGCGGCCAAGCAGTCTGCGCTTTTCTTCACCTCCAGGAAGCTATGCAGATGGTGCCTAAATTCTGCTTCCCTTTTGATGTGGAAAGGTATGGAAGGGCAGGGAGATCCAAGGACTTGGGGACTCAGATCCCTCAGGGGCCCCAATGACTCAGGCATCTGGAAACCCATACACTCAAGGACCATGAGACTCAAAGACTCAAACACTTGGGGTCCCTGAGAACTTAGGGACATATATGCATTAGCATCCAGGGACTCAGACACTCGGGGACCCAAAGATCCAGGGACTCAGGGCCCCAGAGACCCAGGGATTCAAGGACCCAGGAACTCAAGAACCCAGGGACTCAGGAATGCAGGAACTCAGGGACCCAGGGACTCAGGGACACAGGGACCCAGGGACCCAGGGACACAGGGACCCAGGGACCCAGGGACTCAGGGACTCAGGGACACAGGGACATAGGGACTCAGGGATACAGGGACCCAGGGACTCAGGGATACAGGGACCCAGGGACCCAGGGACCCAGGGACTCAGGGACCCAGGGACCCAGGGACTCAGGGACCCAGGGACCCAGGGACTCAGGGACCCAGGGACTCAGGGACTCAGGGACACAGGGACCCAGGGACTCCGGGACTCAGGGACCCAGGGACCCAGGGACCCAGGGACACAGGAACTCAGGGACTCAGGGACCCAGGGACTCAGGGACCCAGGGACTCAGGGACACAGGGACCCAGGGACACAGGAACTCAGGGACACAGGGACTCAGGGACCCAGGGACTCAGGGACCCAGGGACTCAGGGACACAGGGACACAGGAACCCAGGGACACAGGGACCCAGGGACACAGGGACCCAGGGACCCAGGGACCCAGGGACTCAGGGACCCAAGGACTCAGGGACACAGGGACCCAAGGACTCAGGAACCCAGGGACCCAGAGACTCAGGGACACAGGGACTCAGGAACCCAGAGATCCAGAAGCCCAGAGATCCAGGGATTCGGGGACCCAGGGACCCAGAGACGCAGGGACTTAAAGACACAGAGATTCAGGGACTCAGGAATCTAAGGACTCAGGAACTCAGGAACCCAGGGACCCAGGAACTCAGGGATTCAGGGACTCAGAGACTCAAGGATTCGGGGACTTGGGAACCCAGAGACTCAGAAATACGGGGATTCAGGAACACAGAGACACAGGGACCAAGGGACTTAGGGATTCAGGAATTCAGGAACCCAGGGGCTCAGAGACACAGGGACTCTGGAACCCAGAGATCCGGGATCCAGGGATCTAGAGATCCAGAGACCCAGAGGTCCAAGGACCCAGAGATCCAGAGACCCAGAGATCCAGGGACCCATGGATCCTGAGACCGGGAGACCCAGGCATGCAGGGATTCTGACAACTAGAGACCTATATACCCAGGGTCCCAGGAGCTTTGTTGGGGTGGGGGGAATCCTCAGACAGCAGTGATGCCCAGGTCTCTCTAACAGCCCTTCCCACTCCAGGGAGCCCCCCAGCCCCGCCGTGCAGCATTTCACCTTCGCCCTCACAGACCTTGCCGGCAACCGCAGATTTGGTTTCTGCCGCCTGCGGGCGGGTACCCAGAGCTGTCTCTGCATTCTCAGGTGTGGGATATGGGGGTTGGGGGTGGGGTGGGGGATGGGAAAAGCTGAGGCCTAGTGACACTTCGTGAACTTATCCTCTCTCCACAGCCACCTGCCTTGGTTCGAGGTGTTTTACAAGCTACTGAACACAGTGGGAGACCTCCTAGCTCAGGACCAAGTGAGACCAGCCCCTCTCTCACTCCTGTAGGAGTCCCAGCCCCCACCCGCCAAGCCCCCAACCCCTCTCAGATTTCCCAGGCCTGGCGGGCACATCATGTCACACCTGTAGTCTCAGCACTTTGGGAGGCTTAGGTGGGAGGATTGCTTGAACCTAGGAGCTTGAGACCAGCCTGGGCAATGAGTGAGACCCCCTTCTCTACAACAAAATAAGTAAATTGGCTGAGTGCGGTGGCTCACACCTGTAATCCCAGCACTTTGAGAGGCCAAGGTGAGCGGATCACCTGAGGTTACAAGAAAAAAATTAAAAATTTTAAAAAGCCAGACAGGTGGCTCACACCTGTAATCCCAGCCCTTAGGGAGGCCAAGGCAGGAGGATCTCTTGAGCTCAGGAATTCAAGACCAGCCTGGGCAACATAGGGAGATCGTGTCTCTTTTTTTGAATTATTATTATTTCTTTTATTTATTTCTTTTTTATTTATTTTTTTAAAGATGGGGTTTCACCATGATGGCCAGGCTGGTCTTGAACTCCTGACCTCAGGTGATCCACCCGCCTCGGCCTCCCGAAGTGCTAGGATTACAGGCGTGAGCCACCGCGCCCGGCCTCTTTTTTTTTTTTTTTAAATAGATGGGGGTCTCGCTATGTTGCCCAGGCTGGAGCGCAGTGGCTATTCACAGGAGCGATCCCACTACTGATCATCATGGGAGTTTTGACCTGCTCCTTTTCCAACCTGGGCCAGTTCACCCCTCCTTAGGCAACCTGGTGTTGCCCGGCTTCCGGGAGGTCACCATATTGATGCCGAACTTAGTGCGGACACCTGATCAGCATAGCGCACTACAGCCCAGAACTCCTGGACTCAAGCGATCCTCCATCCGAGTAGCTGGGACTACAGGCACGCGCCACAGCGCCCTGCTTTTTAATTTTTTTTCCCAAAAAAAAAAAAAAAAAAAAAAAAAAGAACTCCCAGGCCTGAGCCTTACCTGACCTGAGCTCCTCCCACACCCCTCAAGCTTAGTCATGGCCCTTGGAATCCCCAATCCACCTCTGGCTCAGCCACCCCCATTCCCCCACCTCCCACCCAGGTCTCCGAGGCAGAGGAACTTCTTCAGAATCTGTTGCAGCAGTCCCTGCCGGAGCCCCAGGCCTCAGTGGGGCTGGAGCTGGTGAGTAGCTCCCATTCCCTGGGCGCTGGACCTTAGGTGGATGGGAAGGCTGCGTCTCAGACCTGATGACCACAGTCGTACCTCTTCCCCAGGGCAGCGGAGTCACCGTCTCCAGCGGGCAGGGCATGCCGCCCCCTACCCCGGGGAATAGCAAGCCGGTGAGCGGGGCTTGGGGACCCTGGAAGGTCGGGGATCCAGGTGAGGCCAGCCTCCTAACTGATTGGTCCCCACGCCAATACCCCCACCAGCTTTCTTGCTTCGTGGCCCCGGACTCCGGCCGCCTACCATCCATCCCTGAGAACGTGAGTGGGGACCCGGGAGGGGTTTCTGGGGGTGTGAACAGGTCCCGAAACCCAAACGGGGGATGCAAGATCCAGGGGCCCGTCCACGCCCAGCGCGCCTCTCTGATCCTCAGAGGAATCTAACGGAGCTGGTGGTGGCCGTGACCGATGAGAACATCGTGGCGCTGTTTGCGGCGCTCCTGGCCGAGCGAAGAGTCCTGCTCACCGCCAGCAAACTCAGCACCGTGAGGCGTGGCCCGCCGGGCTGGGGGTGGGGCAGGGCCTGGTTCCGCCCCCTCGGGGAAGCGGGAGGGACAAAGGGGCTGATTCCTGGCTCTAACCCCACTGCTTGGGACCTGAAGGCGAAGTCTTGGCTCCGCCACCTCGAAGGTCTTCAGAGAGTTAAATTCTAGCCCCGCCCATGTGGGAGGGGCCTGCGCTGCAGCGGCTCCTCTTTGGGAGTACTAAGCACAGGCTCCACCCACTATGGTCTGGCTCCACCCCTCCGGATACTCAGGGACCCTGAGAACTAGGGACCTATACACATGGGGATCCAGGGACCCAGAGACCCAGGGACTCAGGGACCCAGAAATCCCGGAACCCATGGAACCCCTAGGAATAGAGATTCAGATAACAAGGGACCCAAAAAACTAGAGATGCATACTCCCAGGGAGTCTAAGACCCAGGAGGGGGAAACTGGCTCCACCCCTAGGGGCGGGGTCAAATTATTGCATTTCAGCTCCACCTCTTTGGGTGGGGCTCCATCTGGCTCCACCCCTAGAGTGGGAGCCAAATAGTTTCATTCTGGCCCCGCCTCTTTGGATGGGTTTAGGTCGTGGCTCCACCCCTAGGGGTGGGACAAGGGCGGGATACATTATAGCTCCACCTCTTTCGGGGTGGAGTTCGTGGAGGATCAGTCCTAGCTCTACCTCTATGCTGGAAGACCCAGGGGAGTTGCCTATTAACTGCACTCCCTTAGAGAAAGAATGGGACAGGATAAGTCCTGGCCTCACCTGCTTAAAGCACTGTAAGTAGCCAAATTCCTGGTCTCCACATGATTTCTTTTTTTTCTTTTTTTTGGGCGGGGGGATGGAGTCTTGCTCTGTCACGCTGCTGGAGTGCAGTGGCACGCTCTGGTCTCACTACAACCTCTGCCTCCTGGGTTAAAGCAATTCTCTTGCCTCAGCCTCCCGAGTAGCTGGGACTACAGGCGCGCGCCACCACGCCCAGCTAAACCACATGATTTCTAAAGGGGTTTGAGTTGTCACTCATTACCCAGCAGCGGATGGGGACGGGGAATAGGAGACGGGACATAGGAAATGCCTGGAGAGACCCCGTGCAGGAGGGTCCAGACCCTGACTCCACACCCTGCCATCGCTCCCTAGCTGACCTCGTGCGTCCATGCGTCCTGCGCACTCCTGTACCCCATGCGCTGGGAGCACGTCCTGATCCCCACGCTGCCGCCGCACCTGCTGGACTACTGCTGGTAAGCGAGGGGAGCTGGGAGGGGCAAGGCCTGGGGGCAGGGCCTGGGGGCGGTGCCTACATGACCCCATCCCCTCCGTCCACAGCGCACCCATGCCCTACCTCATTGGAGTGCACGCCAGTCTCGCCGAGGTAAGCACCGATCTACCCAGATGGTGGGGACGTGAGAGTTCCCCCTCCCCCTACATCCCCAGATACCCTCCTTTGCTAAAGGATCCTCGGGCTCTGAGCAGCCGGCCCTGCTTTTCCGCAGAAAGTTCGAGAAAAAGCCCTGGAAGATGTCGTGGTGCTGAACGTGGACACCAATACATTGGAGACGGCCTTTAACGACGTGCAGTCGCTGCCCCCAGACGTGGTCAGTGTTGCCCCTCCGTCCCTCCTGCCCCGGGAGACGGGCGCCCCACACCTGCCCACTCAGGGCTACTCTCCTGCGCTCCAGGTGTCCCTGCTGAGGCTCCGGCTCAGGAAGGTCGCCCTGGCCCCCGGGGAAGGGGTGTCTCGTCTCTTCCTCAAAGCCCAGGCCCTGCTCTTCGGGGGATACCGAGATGCCCTGGTCTGCAGCCCGGTGAGCAGCGGGAACGTTGCGGGAGAGGTCTCGTGGGTTCCTGAATGAGTCGCTGAATGAATCGCAATGATAATGATAGGTACAGGGGCCGGGCGCGGTGGCTCACGCCTGTAATCCGAGCACTTTGGAGACTGAGGCAGGTGGATCACAAGGTCCAGAGTTCAAAACCAGCCTGCCAAGATGGTGAAACCCTGTCTCTACTAAAAATACAAAAAAAAAAATAGCTGGGCGTGGAGGCAGGCATCTGTAATCCCAGCTACTCGGGAGGCTGAGACAGAGAATCACTTCAACCTGGGAGGCGGAGGTTGCAGTAAGCGGAGGTCACACCACTGCACTCCAGCCTGGGCAACAAGAATGAGACTCCGTCTTAAAAACAAATAATCTTAATCATAATCACAGGTACAATAGATGGCCAAAGGCAGTGGCTCACACCTTGTAATCCCAACACTTTGGGAGGCTTGAGCCCAGAAGTTCAAGACCAGACTGGGCAAACCCACCCCTCTATGTTTTTTTGTTTGTTTGTTTGTTTTTGAGACAGAGTTTCTTCCACCCCCCCCCCCCCACCCTGAGACAGAGTTTCACTCTGTCACCCAGACTGGAGTGCAGTAGCGCAATCTCAGCTCACTGCAACCTCTGCTTCCCAGGTTAAAGCGATTCTCCTCCCTCAGACTCTCCAGTAGTTAGGAATACTACTCAAGAGTCTGAGGGAGGAGAATCGTGCACCACCACACCCAGCTAATTTTTGTAGTTTTAGTAAAAACGGGGTTTCTCTATGTTAGCCAGGCTAGTCTTGAACTCCTGACCTCAGGTGATCTGCCCGCTTTGGGCTCCCAAAGTACTGGGATTACAGGCTTGAGCCACCATGCCCGGCCACCGTCTTTTTTTTTAATTAAAATAATAATGGAGGGGCAAGGAAAAATAATAATGATGATGATGATAGGTAGCATTAATGAAGTGCTTACTTTGTGCTTCTGTTTGCCCGTCTGTAAAATGGGACCCAAATAGTGCCACCCAAAAGGATATTGGAATCAGTGAATCAGCATCTTCCCTGCACTTTGAATCGTACCTGGCATACAGCAAGCACTCAATAAATGCTGGCTTCTACTACTGTTATTCTCTCATTTAATGCTCATACATTTTGAGAAGGATACTGTGACATTCCCATTTTCCATATGAGTAAACCAAGGCTTGACGGGTCCACAGTGGGTGAATGTTGAAGCCAGGACCTTGCTCTTTGAAGTCCCCTCCTCTATTTTTCACCAACAATCCACAAAAACTGGGGGTTTCCAGTATCACTTGAGCATCTGGCGTTCTTGTCATCTCTGCATTCTGAATCTGCACACCTAACCACCCACTTCCTCTGTCTCCACTCTGAATGGACCCCATAATTGTTTGCCTGAAATTAATGCAATGATCTCCCCCACCCCTGGGACTCCCTCACAAGGAGGCTTCTTTTTTTTTTTTTTTTTTTTTGAGACAGAATCTTCCTCTCTTGCCCCAGGCGCTGGAGTGCTGTGGCATAATCTCAGCTCACTGCAACCTCCGCCTCATGGGTTCAAGTGATTCTCCTGCCTCAGCCTCCCAAGTAACTGAGATTACAGGCACATACCACACCACATTGGCCAATTTCTGTATTTTTTTTTCGTTTTTTTTTTGAGACGGAGTTTTGCTCTTGTTACCCATACTGGAGTGCAAAGGCGCTATCTTGGCTCACTGCAACTTCTGCCTCCTGGGTTCAAGCAATTCTCCTGTCTAGCCTCCTGCATAGCTGGGATTACAGGCATGCACCACCATGCTGAGCTAATTTTGTATTTTTACTAGAGATAGGGTTTCTCCATGTTGATCAGGCTGGTCTTGAACTCCTGACCTCAGATGATCGGCCTCCCAAAATGCTGAGATTACAGGCTTGAGCCACCGTACCTGGCAGTTTTTGTATTTTTAGTAGAGACGGGGGTTTCACCATGTTAGCCAGGCTGGTCTCGAACTCCAGACCTCAGGTGATCTGCCCACCTCATCCTCCTGGAGTGCTGGGATTACAGGCATGAGCCACCACTCCTGGCCCTCTGCAAGCAGGCATCTGCCTTCACCTCCCAGAGTCTGTCCCCCCTGCATTGGCCAAAGGTCACTACCAGCGAACGCCTGAGTCAGATCACGTCCCTCCCCTGCCTACAGCACCCCAGGGCTTCCACCTTACTTGAGACAAATGCTTAAATCAGCCAGATCAGTGACTCACATCTGTAATCCCAGCACTTTGAGAGGCCAAGGTGGGTGGATTGCTTGAGCCCAGGAGTTCAGACCAGCCTGGGAAACATAGTGAGACCCTGTCTCCACAAAAAGTACAAAAATTAGCTGGGCATGGTGGTGTGCACCTTGGTCCCAGCTGCTTGATAGACTGAAGTGGGAGGATCACTTGAGCTCAGGAGGCAGAGGTGGCAGTGAACAGAGATCGCACCACTGCATTCCGACGCATATGACAGAGTGAGACCCCAACTCAAAAAAAGAAATGGGGGCTGGGTGTGGTGGCTCATGCCTGTAATCCCAGCACTTTGGGAGGCTGAGGCGAGCAGATCATGAGGTAAGGAGTTCGAGACCAGCCTGGCCAACATGGTGAAGCCCCATCTCTACTAAAAATACAATAGCCGGGCATGGTTGTAAGTGCCTGTAATCCCAGCTACTCGGGAGTCTGAGGCAGGATAATTGCTTGAATCCAGAAGGTGGAGGTTGCAGTGAGCCAAGATTGAACCACTGCACTCCAGCCTGGGTGACAGAGCAAGAAGCCCACACAGGGTCAGGCACACAGCAGGTGCCTAATCAATGTTTGCTATATAAATATATAGTAGAATGAGGGAGGGACAGGAGCACCGCAGGGAGCTCAGAACTCTGACGCTTCTTCCAGGGCCAGCCAGTGACCTTCAGTGAGGAAGCCTTCTTGGCCCAGAAGCCTGGGGCACCCCTGCAGGCCTTCCATCGGCGGGCTGTGCACCTGCAGCTGTTCAAACAGGTATGCCAGAGCCCTGAGGGTGCAGCCGGGGCTGGAGGTGGACTGCTGAGTCCCCGAGGGCTGGTCTGAACTGGCAGGGTTGAGGGTAGACTCCTGGGTCCCTGAGGGTACGGCTGGAGACAGTCCAGCAGGATCCCCCACTCCCGGGCTCCCAGGTGGGGAAGGATTGACCTCCTGGATTCCTAAAGATGGGAGCCCTGGCCAGGCTAGGTGGCTCACACCTGTAATTCCAGCACTTTTGGAGGCCCAGGAGGGTGGATCACCTGGTCAACATGGTGAAACCCTGTCTCTACTAACAATACAAAAATTAGCTGGGCACGGTGGTGTGCATCTGTAATCCCAGCTACTTGGGAGGCTAAAGCAGGAAAATCACTTAAACTCAGGAGATGGAGGTTGCAGTGAGCCAAGATCGCACCACTGCATTCCAGCCTGGTGACAGAGCAAGACTCTGTCTCAAAAAAAAAAAAAAAAAAAAAGAAAGAAAAAGAAAAAGATAGAAGCCCCAACTCCTGGGTTCCTGGGGGACAAGACCTATCCTAGGTCTGAGGGAAATCAGGGTGGGACCAAATTCCCAGGTCCCTAAGCAAGTATCTTCCTGGGACTAGGGTGTCTGTCTGAGCTGGACTCCAGAGCAGGCAGGTCCCAGAATTTCCCGAGTCCTAAGGATATGGGGGGAGGGCTGGTAGTTGGGGCTGAACTTCAAGGTTCCTGGGAAAAGGTAGCTTGGACCCCTAGATTGCTAAAGATGGGGTCAACCTACTCTTGGCTCACTGAGAGCTGGTGGGTAGATCTAAAGGGGGCAGAATTCCATTTCTGGGTCCCTGCAAAGGGTGGAGCTTGATCCCTGGGAACAGGTCCTGACTTGGGGAGGGAAGAAAAGGTGGAATCTCTGCTTCCTAAAGTGGGAGCTCCAGGCCAGGGGCAGTGGCTCATGCTTGTAATCCCAGCCATTTGGGAGCCTGAGGCCAGCAGATCATCTGAGGTCAGGAGTTCGAGACCAGCCTGGCCAACATGTTGAAACCCCGTCTCTACTAACAATACAAAAATTAGCTGGGTGTGGTGGTGCATGCCTGTAATCCCAGCTACTCGGGAGGCTGAGGCAGGAGAATAGCTTGAACCTGGGAGGTGGAGGTTGCAGTGAGCCAAGATTGCACCACTGCACTCCATCCTGGGTGACAGAGCAAGACCCTGTCTCAAAAAAAAATAAATAAAATAAAGTGGGCTCCAGTTTCCCAGGTGCTTGGGAATGGGCAGGTTGGAGGCCAGAGACGGCTTCTACATCTTGACGGCAGACAGGCTGTGATGTCCTGGGATTCCAACGTGTCTGCTGCTACTTCTCATTTACTGTCCCCCACCGCAGTTCATCGAATCCCGATTGGAGAAGCTCAACAATGGGGAGGGCTTCTCAGATCAATTCGAGCAGGAGATCTCCAGCTGCGGGGCCTCCTCAGGTGAGCCCTGAGTCCAGCCCCTGGCTCCCCTCACCCACCTCCACCCCCAGCCTCAGCCAGCCTTTGGTGACCTCCAAACTCTCTCCTTACTCCAGGGGCCCTTCGATCCTATCAGCTCTGGGCCGACAATCTGAAGGTAAGACCACAAAAACAATAGGACGGGCGGGGTGGCTCATGCCTGTAATCCCAACGTTGGGAGGCGGAGGCAGAAGGATTGCCCAGACCAGAAGTTTGAGACCAGCCAGGGCAACATGGCAAAACCTCATCTCTACTTCAAAAAATACAAAAGTTAGGCTGAGCGAGGTGGCTTACGCCTGTAATCCCAGCACTTTGGGAGGCCAAGGTGGGTGGATCACGAGGTCAGGAGATCAAGACTACCCTCGCTAACATGGTGAAACCCCGTCTGTACTAAAAACGCAAAAAATTAGCTGGGCATGGTGGCACATGCCTGTAGTCCCAGCTACTTGGGAGGCTGAGGCATGAGAATCGCTTGAACCCAGGAATCAAAGGTTGCAGTGCGCCAAGATCACACCACTGCACTCCAGCCTGGGCGACAGAGCAAGACTCTGTCTCAAAAAAAAAAAACAAAAACACACAAAAACACAATTAGCCAGGTGTGGCTGTAGTCCCAGCTACTCGAGAGGCCTAGGCGGAAGGATGGCTTGTGCCCAGGAGGCAGAGGTTGCAGTGAGATCATGCCACTGCACTCCATCCTGGGTGACAGAGCAAGACCCTGTCTCAAAAACCACTTGTTGGCTGTGCACGGTGACTCGTGTCTGCAATCCCAGCACTTTGGGAAGCCGAGACAAGTGAATTGCCTGAGGTCAGGAGTTTGAGACCAGCCGGGCCAACATGGTGAAACCCCATCATCTCTACTAAAAATACAAAAATTATCCAGGCGTAGTGGTGGGTGCCTATCATCCCAGCTACTCAGGAAGCTGAGGCAGGAGAACTGTTTGAACCCAGGAGGCGGAGATTGCAGTGAGCCGAGATGGCACCACTGCATTCCAGCCTGGGTGACACAGCAAGACTCTCAGGAAGCCAAACAAACAAAAAAAACTCTGTTCTTTGAGACTCCACCTCAAAAAAACAAAAACACTTGTTAAGGATGTCTCATTCGATTAATTTAATCCCATGACAGTCACCAGGTAGGGTCATGACTATGATCATATTCATTTATAGAGGTGAAAAAATGGGGACTCAGAGAGGGAAAGGGGCTTGATCAGCATTCCACGACCTGGGATGCGGAGGTGGGATGGATCTGGCCCGAGCCTCTCTCCCTTGGTATCTTCTCTCCCCCAGAAAGGTGGAGGTGCCCTCCTGAATTCAGTCAAGGCCAAGACCCAACCAGCCGTCAAGAACATGTACCGCTCGGTGAGACTGGGCTGGGCAGGCCACTCTTGCTGGGATGACGAGGGGGATTGGACAGAAGATACTTTGATCTCCTAAGGGATGGAACATTTTGACCCCAGCAGACACTTCAAACGCACATGATTTAATAAGAACTGAACCAGCAGTTAAACCATTCACAAATCTTCCCCCTTCTATTTTGTGTTTGTGATACTCATTGTGGGAATTCTACCCTTCCCCTTTAAAACCGACAGCCAAGGTTCACTGACAAACATTCCTTGTCCTCCGATGCTACAATTCCAGCTTCTACCTTTTTTCCCCCAAGCCTAGAAGTTTCCTGATGCCAATTTTTGTAGCTTGAAACTGTCCATGCGATTTTATTCTTCGCCGCTGTGAGACAGGAACGCTTTGCCATGTTGCTTTACTGCTCCCCATTTTATTTCGGGATGACTTCCTCCGGGAATACTTGTTTTATATTAGTCAAAGGGGTGAAAGTTTGCACTGACTTCTTAGGTGGTGTCTGGGGGGTGGTGAGCATATTTGAGACGCGGAGATGGACAGATGGCAAGATAACGCTATCTTAGGGGACAGAAGTCTGAGCTCTCAAATGCCCAGGATCTCGTCACCTCAGGTAATTCTCCCTCTGCTCTTTAATAGGCCAAGAGTGGCTTGAAGGGAGTACAGAGCCTTCTAATGTATAAGGTAAGACCAGCTGGCCTAGCGCAGTGGCTCACCCCTGTAATCCCAGCACTTTGGGAAGCCGAGGCAGGAGGATCACTTGAGCCCAGGAGTTTGAAACCAGCTTGGAAAATATAGTGGGACCTTGTCTCTAAAAAAAAATATTTAAAATTAGCTGAGCATGGATGCCTTGAGCCCAGGAGGTGGAGGTTGCAGTGTGCTGAGATAGTGCCGCTGCATACCAGCCTGGGTGACAGAGAGAGACCCTGTCTCAAAAACAAGAAGACAGGCCGAGCCTGGTGGTTCACGCCTGTAATCCTAGCACTTTGGGAGGCCGAGGTGGGTGGATCACCTGATGTCAGGAGTTCAAGACTAGCCTGGCCAACATGGAGAAACCCCATCTCTATTAAAAAATAATAATAATACAAAAATCAGCCAAGTGTGGTGGCAAGCATCTGTAATCCCAGCTACTCAGGAGGCTAAGGCATGAGTATCGCTTGAACCCAGGAGGGGAGGTGGAGGTTGCAGTGAAACGAGATCATGCCCTGGCACAGTGGCTCACATCTATAATCCCAGCACTTTGGGAGGCCGAGGCAGGTGGATCACTTGAGGTCAGGAGTTCTAGACCATCCTGACCAACATGGTGAAATGTCTCTACTAAAACTACAAAATTAGCTGGGCATGGTGATACATGCCTGTAATCCCAGTTACTTGTGAAGCTGAGGCAGGAGAATCACTTGAACCTGGGAGGCCGAGGTTGTGGTGAGCCAAGATCTCACCATTGCACTCCAGCCTGCGCAACATGAGTGAAACTGTCTCAAATGGTGGCCTGGGGGGAGGTTCCCTGGCAGAGGTTCCCAGTTCATGCATTCTCTTCCCAGGATGGGGACTCTAACCTGCAGAGAGGGGGCTCCCTGAGAGTCCCAGCCCTCACCAGCCGCTCAGACCGCCTGCAGCAACGCCTTCCAATCACTCAGCACTTTGGACGGGTGAGAGTGCCCCTCCCCCACGCACACACCTGGAATTGTCACTGAATCCTCCACCCATCCCAGTCCCTATCCAGACAGCTCACCTCCTCCTTCAACTCCCGATAGTTGGCACCCACTTCACACTCACCTTCCTCCAGCAAGCCTCAGCCCCTAAACTCTGCAGCCTCCTGAGGTCTTATGGCCCTTACCCTTTGCAGAATCGGCCCCTTCGCCCCAGCAGGAGACGCCGACTGGAAGAGGGACCTTCTGAGCCCCCAGGGGTGGGGTAAGACTAAAGCGGAACAGCAGTGTTGACAGTGGGAGGCTAGGACTGAGGGGGAGGAGGATTCCCAAACTCCAGAGCAGCCCCACCAGGGCTGGGGGTCTTGGGCAAATATCTGAGGCTGCCCATCCTCACCCAGGACACCCCCTCTAACACCTGAGGATGAGGGGTGCCCGTGGGCAGAAGAAGGTCTGGACAGCAGCTTCTTGGGATCTGGAGAAGAACTGGATTTGTTGAGTGAGATTCTGGACAGTCTTAGCGTGGGAGCCAAGAGTGCAGGCAGCTTGAGACCAAGCCAGAGTTTAGACTGCTGTCACAGAGGAGACCTGGACAGCTGCCTCAGCCTGGTGAGAGCCTCGCCCACTCCCCCACCCCTACCCGTCTTCCCCTAATGGTCCATCCGACTTGTCAGCCCCTCTGACATCTAAAAGCCACAACTTCCCTATCCCTCCATCCCACCCAGCCCAACATACCAAGATGGCAACCAGACGATAAGAAACTACCAGAGCCCCAGCCCCTGTCCCTGTCCCTGCCGGCAGACTTGCTGTCCCTGCAAAACATCCCATCTTTGGATGCCACCAGCTCCTCAAAGGACCCCAGGTCCCAGCTGATACGCTCAGAGTCTGACCACCACGTCATCTCTCCATCTCAGACCTCACCAGCCTCTGCAGACCTACGCATCTGGGGGTACCCCAAACCCTCTACTCTCATAGATCCCCTAATTCTTCAGGCAGCTGAAGATTCTAGAGCCCAGGAAAATCCCACTTCCTGGCTCTCCCCCACACCCACCCAGCCCAGCCCTCCAGAAAGCCCCCAAATTCTGGCCCCCACAAAGCCCAGCTTTGATACGGCTTGGACGGCCCAGCTCCTTGATCCTTCCTCAGACCCCACTTCCCTGGAGAACCCCAGAGTCCAGCCTCCCAAGGCCTTGCTAGCAGAGCACGCTCCTCTCCAACCACTTGAGGGACCAGGAGCCCCAGATTCCCCCACCAGAAACTGGCAAAAGCCCCAGCCCAGCAGCCGGTCCAGAGTGGCTGATCTTAAGAAGTGCTTTGAGGGTTAAGAATGGAGTCCAGCCGGGCACAGTGGTTCATGCCTGTAATCCCAGCACTTTGGGAGGCTGAGGTGGGTGGATCACCTGAGACCAGCCTGGCCAACATAGTGAAACCCCGTCTCTACTAAAAGTAACAAATTAGCCGGGTGTGGTGGCACATGCCAGTAGTCCCAGCTACTCAGGAAGCTGAGGCAGGAGAATCGCTTGAACCCAGGAAGTGGAGGTTGCAGTGAGCCGAGATCACGCCACTGCACTCCAGGCCTGGGCACCAAACTGAGACCCCAACAAAAAAAAAAAAAAAAAAAAAAAAAAAGAATCAGGAGTCCAGGGGAGACCCCAGTTCCCTCAATAAAGCCGTAAGAGCCCAAAGCTGTCTTTTTCCTGGTGAATTTTTTGGTGCCCTCACTCTGCTCAGAAACCCATCCCACCCACCTCTGTCCCTCCAAGGGCAGCCTCTCTAACTGGCTCCCAGCAGGGAAGCCTCTGATCCCCTAGGTTCCTTGCAACAGTTCCTCTTGGCATTTGTCACTTCCATCTAGGCTAATGCCCCCACCAGCTCAAGCACAAAAAAGCTTTTATTACACCTCACTACTAATTTTATATAAATATATAAAAGTGAATAGCCCCATCCTCCCTTGACCTCAGGGGCAGAGTCTTTGAAGCACTTTCTTCCCTGCTATTCTTAAGCACTGGGTGGATCTGACTGCCCAGAGAGGGCACTGCCTTTCCCCAAGGTCACACAGCAATGAAGGGAGACAGATGCAGGAGAGGGGACCTAGATGGGCAGGCAGCCCCGCACCGTCTCCTTGGAGTCCTGAGGGGCCCGGGCCTCGGCCGCATGAGAGAACTGAAAGAAAGGAGAGGGGGTTGTGGGGCCTGCAGGACACGCAGAGAAAAGTTGGTTCCGCAAGCAGGGCGGTGGGTCCCGAGCCCCAGCACCCTGAGCTGCAGGCACAGCCAAGCAGAGGCAGCATGCTACAGAGAGCCCGCCAGGTGGGTGCCCCAGCCTCTCCCCCAGAGTCCTGCTGAGCCATCAGAGGCTGGTGTCCCGGTGGCAGCTGCGGTGTACAAGCCAGCACCCGGCATTCCTGGGTAGTGTTGGTGGCTGCAGCAGGCCCCAGCGTTCAGATGAGCCGCTCCTCTGGCGGCAACTTGAGGTTGGGGGTCGGTGGCACACGGGCACCCACCTGCTCCTCGCTGCTGGGCCGGTAGGTGCCCTCCGTCTGCCGCTTCTCCCGAAGCTTCCGCACCAATAGTGCCAGCCCCACCGCCAGGAGCAAGGCGGCCAGGATGGAGAAGACCACGATGATGGCAGTGATGGCCCCCTGAGACTGCAGAGAGGGGACAGGTGTGAATCACGTGAGCCAGGGGAGCCTGTCCACCTCCACCTGAATGGCATCGCCCTCCCCTTTCCACCCCTTCCCCCCCCCCACACACATCTGCCACTTTTGGTAATCTGGTCCCCAAACTGGTGCTTCCTGGATCCCTGCCTACCTTGTCTGGCTTTGTTGTTTTTTTGTTTTTTGTTTTTTTTGAGACAGAGTCTTGCTCTGTCACCCAGGCTGGAGTGCAGTGGCACCATCTCAGCTCACTGCAACATCTGCCTCATGAGCTCAAGCAATCTCCCTGCCTCAGCCTCCCGAGTAGCTGGGATTACAGGTATGTGTGCCCCGACGCCTGGCTAATTTTTTGTATTTTTAGTAGAAACGGAGTTTCACCATGTTGGCCAGGCTGGTCTCAAACTCCTGACCTTGTGATCCGACCGACTCAGCCTCCCAATGTGCTGGGATTATAGGAATGAGTCACCACGCCCGGCAGGGACTCCTGCTTTCATCACATCCACCAAGTCTGAGCTCCTTGCTCCCCACCCACCTGAGAGGCATGTGGAGTTTCTGAGCCCCCACACCTGACAGGTGCAGTATTCTTGTCTACGACATCCAGGGTCTCCTAGTCTTCCTGGTCTAAGTCTTTAGGTCTCTCCTACTTAAAACTCTCCAAAGCTACCCTGACCTGCCACCTCTGGGGAAAGGAGGTGTCCTGTCCTCTCTGCATGCTAATGCGCTATATGTGTGATCCCTGGATAATATCCTTGCTGCCATCTTCCCACACAGCCCTCCACTCACCAGGGTGCCATGGGAGCTGGAGCTCGGGCTGGTGGATGCAGGCAAAACAGTGCTACTCTCATTTGCAGAAGGGATAGTTACTGTGGAGGGTGAAGGCAGTGAATAAATCAGTCTCCATCTTTCTGTCCCATCCCTACCCACCTGCACCTGCTTGGGACACTCCCTTTCACCACCCCCCAGCAGGCAATTCAAACTACACCCCACTGAGCCTTTCATTCGCACACAGTGTGTGCCCTGCAGGTAGGACACGTTCCTCTAGGTGTTTGCTCCTCCAGACGTTCCCCCACCCCACCCCAGCCCAGCAGAACCCAGCACGGTGTCCAGAAGCCCAACCTTCCCCCACTCACCTCTCGGCCCTGGTCCCTTAAGGATCTGGGCGGGTCTAGCTCTTCCCTGGAGTGTCTGACTCACACCTTCCCCCAGGCTCCCGAAACGAATCTAAGACTGAATGACTGGGGTCTACCCCTTCAGCCAACCGGGTCGACTGGGCTCGGCAGACTTTCATCCCAGTTCACCCAAAACACCTGCACTATCCCAAGACTCAAGTACACAGCCCTTACCTTCCCCTAAGTCCTACTTACGAACCTCCACTCCAACACCCAATTCCACCCCACTCAGGAACTCAGGTCTCCTGGACCAACTCCCACTGTCCAAGGAAGAAACTAGAAATCCTAAACCCCCCCACCCCTAATTCGTAGACCCCTCCCCAAGGTATTGCCCGCTCCCCAATTCTTGACCCTCTCTGTGCCTCAGATACCCAACGCTTCTAAGCCACATCCCCAGCAGAGACCCAGGAATCCGGACCCCTCCCCCCAGCGCTCTCAGCCGGTACCTACTTTGGCCCCACACTCGGCCCCAGCGGGCCAGCAGGAACGGCAGGCCCAGCGCCAAAAGCAGCCCCAGGCCGGGGTTCGCCATGGGCTGGGTGGCGGGTTGGCAGCGCCGAGGAAGGGGCTTCTCGCACGCGCCCCTCCTACCGCATCTCCGGCCGGGGGCACCTGCGACGGGGCACCTGGGAGCGGGGAAGGAGAGAGGCCCGGGCTTTAGGATTGGGGTCTGGACACTGGCGCCAGGGCACCCATGAGTCCCCGCCCCGCACCAGCCGCCAGAGGTCAGTGATTAAAGATTAACTCCAGGGAGCGCGTTCCTGGGCTCGGGAAAGGAAGGGGACGGGACGGGGGAGGGTGGAGGGGCGAGGGGGGCAGGCCTAGCGGTGCGTCCTGCCTTCCTACCTGGCCCGGGCGTCTTTGACCTAGCTCAGGTTCCTGGTCCGTGTCCCTCCCTCGAACCCTCGGTCCGTCGGTCGGGCTTTCGGTCCGATCCCACCGGCTCCGCCCGCTCACGTGACCCGGAAAGTTTAGTCACTTACCTGGGAGGAGAGCGCACTTCCGGCTTGTGCACCTGAGCCTTGATGAGAGGGCGGAGCCAAGAAGGGGGCGGGGCCGCGCTGCCGGCGCACCTGTAACGGGAACCCAGTCCTGTCAGGGGGATGGAGGGAGGGAGACGGCGAAGGCGAGCAGGTGTGAAGAGGACGTAACACCTGCATTGCAAGCACATTTGTAGGAGCGCACAGGTGTGGAGACGCAAGGAGTATGTCAGTAAGTACCCGTGCACAAGGCATTCTTGCCTAGGGCAGACTTGGATGGGGAGTGCTTAATGTCAAAAACACCTGCCTAGGCGCAATGACTCACGCTGTAATCCCAGCATTTGAGAGGCCGAAGCATTTGCTTGAGGCCAGGAGTCCGAGATCAGCTTGAGTAACACAGTAAGACCTCTGTCTCTACAAAAAAAATAATAAGAAAGTAAGCCCGGCGCCAGAGTGACGTGATCCTGTAATCCCAGTGCTTAGAAAGGCCAAAGCAAGAGAATCACTTGAGGCCAGGAGTTCGAGATCAGCCTGGGCAACACAGGGAAGCCCTATCTTTACAAAAAATATAAGAAAATTAGCCGGACGTGATGGCGCGCACTCCTACTTGGGAGGCTGAGATGGGAGGATCGATTGAGCCCAGGAGTGGAGGTTACAGTGAGTGCACTATGATCGTACTACTGTATTCCAGCCTGGGTAACAAAATGAGACCATCTCTTGAGACCTATGGGGAACCAAGCCTGTACAGAAGACTCCTATACGGGTGTCCACATATAAGAAGAGCATACAGAAAACATCTGGCTGACCATGGTGGCTCACCCTGTAATCCCAGCACTTTGGGAGGCCAAGGCAGGCAGATTATGAGGTCAGAAGTTTGAGACCAACCTGACCAACATGGTGAAAACCCGTCTCTACTAAAAATACAAAAATTGGCTGGGCTAGGTGACACGCCTGTAATCCCAGCTACTCAGGAGGTTAAGGCAGGAGAATCGCTTGAATCTGGGAGGTGGAGGTTGCAGTGAGCAGAGATCATGCCACTGCACTCCAGCCTGGGCAACAAAGCAGACTCCATCTCAAAAAAAAAAAAAAAATTAACTGGGTGTGGTTGCGGGCCCCTGTAATCTCAGCTACTCCGGAGGCTGAAGCAGGGGAATCTCTTGAATCCCCAGACACAGAGGATGCAGTGAGCCGAAACTGCTCCATTGCACTCCAGCCTGGACAACAGTGAAACTCCATCTCAAAAGAAAAAGTCTGCATTGAGTTACATCTATATGAAATATAAGAAAATGGATACATACCAGGGTGGAAAACATCGCTATAGAACACACTTGCATTATCACAAACATAAGGCACTCTGGTGTGGAACAGACCTGTTTTGGGAACACATCTGCACGGCTCACCTATGAAATGTACAGCACTTGTATTGGGGAATTCTTGGGTGTCAGTGTCTTGTAAATACCTGTATGAGACACACCTGCATTTAAGTATACCTGTATGGGACTCGGTTATATGGAAACATACCCAGATGGGTGTATCTTAACTGAAATACACCCATGGGGAGGGAGACTGTAGAATGCATTCATGGGTGGAAGGAAACCTGTTCAGAAACATACCTGTGAGGTAAGAG